TGGAAATTTGGAACGAGCGAGAATTGAAACCGAGCAAAAAAGAAGCGAAAAGGGAGGGGGCGGGAAGGCCGAGAAGGGAACGCCTGCCAGCAGCCTTTATTATCCTCCCTCCACAAAACCTAAACACCCTAATTAAATTGTATTTCGCTTGATCCATGTGATCACCTGTTAGCCGTGCTCTGACTTAGATCAGGCCAGAGGTTGTTTCAGGGTTCGATCTGTAAGTTAGCCGTCCCCTGACTTAGATCAGCCAAAAGGTTGTTTCACGGTCCAATAATTTGAAGGTTTGAAGGGGGTTTTTATTGGGCTTTTTGTAAGATCCCTGTGTTTTGGTGTAGAAGAGAAAGGGGTGAGAAACTGGGTAAAAAATGGTAAAAGTAATTAAATTTACTGATATAAGGGGGAGAGGGGTTGCCCAAATCTCATGTAATATAAAGCGCTCGATGGCAAGGGCGTAGCCAGGCTAAGGTAAAGCTACGGAGAGAAGTGGAAACAGACTTGGAGATCCTGAGGATCGACACCCATACACTATTTCTATACCATAGCTAATTTTCCTTTTCTTCAGCTCCGTATGCATTGGTTATTTTTCGAATTGATGGCAAAGTTCTCGAGACAAGATCAACCAAAAGGAAGCGATCAATTAACCCCGTGTGGAATCAAGGATTTCTATTCGACGTTGATTCCAACAGAATTGAAGACTACTCAATTACCATCAAGGTTATGAACTACGACTTGTTGCTAAGCGACGACTCTATTGGTCACATTATTATCAGTGCTCGCGCGGATGGAAGTGGACGGGAGCACTGGAATAGAATGATTCAAGAGAAGCATATTAGACGGGAAGTAGCAATGTGTCACGAGTTAAAATAACATTGTTACTTGCCTGCGTTTCTTGACGGTCTGCGGTCAATTTAATTTCTTCGACCAACCGCAGACCGCCAAGTAACGCAGACGTCGTGTGTTCGATGCATGAAGGGGCTGCATGAATAACGCGAGTGGACACTTCTCTCTAATAGTGGGTAGGGTGTGCATCAGCGCCTCTAAAATTTCAAACCAATCGAACGTTAATTTTAGCTTGTTGTTTATAAAAGCTATGGCCACAGGCAGCCCAAGCTATGTATTTGTGGTGCGTATGATAAGATTTACAGTAAATGTATGGGACGGGAAAAAATATATATTAAAAAAATTGAACATACTTTGCTCCTGTGTTGACAGGTCGTTGACAAATGATGTCAACAGATAATTAAAGACGATTTTAAAAAGCTAAAAACCGTAAAGTTGTTTACCACTCACTATTAAAAATCACTATCGCAAACCTTTTTTGGGAAAATCGAAAATTATTACATATTTTATCGGAAAGTATAAAAATGTAAAAATCGATCCTTTTGAGCAATTTTAGGGTACCCCGATACCTTAATAGTATTTAGCGTCATTAGGTAAGAGTTAATTACCGAGAACGGAGGCAATAAGCCATATACATCCCGAGGGCCGTAGGCCCGAGGTATATATAGGCTTATTGCCGACGTTCGAGGTAATTAAGTATTTTATTTATCAATTGAGAAGGTTTTCTATCAAATGTTGCTCATTATGAATGCGAAGTCTATATATAGTTATTAACCGGGTTAATAACTAACTATATATTGACCTCGCATTTATAATGAGGGTTATAACAAAAATAAAGCCTTGTGAATAACAAAGAAAACCGTGTCAATAGCGCAGCGCGCTAATTCTAAAAATAGCTTAAAGATTCGGACAAACATTGCATTCTGTTTAGCCGCTACGAGGATTATACGAACCGATTTTATTATTTTTACTTAAAGTTACAATAATAACCCAATTAAACTAAGATCAACTGCGATCGGCTGTGAAAATTATCTGCTGAAAGTAAATTTGTAAGTTTGTTTTTTATAAAGGTTTATAGCTGTTCAAGCTTTGAAAAATTAGCCCACCAGTAAATAAATGATCACACCTCAATGATCCTTCTCTCCAGAAAACGTACATTTTTTCCCTCAGATCCCGAATTAATTTAACTTTAAAAACTGATCCTCAATATTGAGCGATTATAAAGCTACGCTTTTTGCTCCCACCCACCAATTTAGAATGTCGACTTTGTAACCGGGCCTAATTTTACAAATCTTCATCTGATTGGACGATGGTTACCATGGGGAAGATTCACGTCCTCCCGCACTACGCTCAATCTATTTGCTTTCTTCGCAGGTTGAAATAGGACCACATCCGAGAATTATCCGTTCCACATTTGACTTTATGCACTTGATTCAAAATAGAGCAGAGCAAACTCAAGCCGTTTTTATCGTTATCTCGAATATCCCCATGCTAACCATCTCCCTTTCCTTACCTTACCCCTCCCCAAAACCCCTTTGAGAGCCGCTACGCGTAAACACCCGCATATAAGAACAATGGATTAAGAACACCAATTTGGCCAATAAAGCCCCATTTTTATAAGAACAAGATCAGCCTGAAAACTGTAACATGTTCTTATAAAATGGAAAGTGTCATAATTACAAAAAACATGGAAGTTTATGCTTGTTGTCAGATAACTACATAACTCTATCAGCTGAGTACTCCTAAAATATGCTAATTATAGAGTGCATTCAGTCAAACTGTTGAAAAGTTAGATAAATGTATCTAACTTAGATAACTATTTAGTTGACGTCACCTAAAATAGTAAAAGCGCGCCAAATAACGGTCATGCTAATCCGGGGGGTTGTTTTACTAGAGAATGAGTGAATAGACATTCATTTGTATCATCGTTTCTCCCCCTGATCTCAGTAGCGGTTTACTCGTAGTTTCAAATTTATGTGAGGTCAGCTATAAACTAAACAAAAATTTAAGAGCGACTGTCCAGAAATATCGAGCACGGGGCGGCCACAGTCAAAAAATAAAAGTCCTTCATTTTTGGTCTGTAGACACTATTTGATGAGTTTATGAACGTACTGGG